TGACTCAGCTCAAGTAAAGGTTAATAGCTTTTTAAATGCATCAATAGAAAATAAAATACCTTGACACAAAAATGTGCTACTACGCTAACATTCAGTACCACTGCATATTTAACCAGAGACATTTCATAACTCTATTAACAACCCTGCTTCATTTGTATTATCTTTGCAGGACTATATATGTGACAGATATAACATTAGACATTAAGAGCGATGAGTTTGGACGGAGGTGTGAAAGATGGAGCGAGCAGAGGATATGGAGAGGTGCTTAAGACGTGAAGTGATGAGTGAGTGTGTGTTGACGAAGAGAGAGACAAGAGACGGCAGGACATTTACTGACTCAGCATGAAATACATAGAGATGGACAACATGGGTAGGATTGAGGGAGAAAGACCAGTCCACACTCTGTATTGGTCCAATCAGGACTTGAACCGGCAACCCTTCAATTCCCAAGCCAAGTCCCAAGATCATTTTAAGCATAATGTTTGTCTCACATATGAGTTTAAGACTGCAATCCTTAACACACTTACATTAATGAATATCTTGCCCATTGTTTTTTAGATGAATCGTTGATTTGGTTTATAAAATGTCAGAAAAGGTTTCTGAAAGTCCAAGTATTTCCTTAAATATCTTGCTTTTTCAGTCAGAAACCCATATATTTTCACTTTAACACAATATAATACAGAGAAGAGTAATACTTATTGATATTTGAGAGGCTAAAAACAGCACATTTGGCAGTGAAATGGCTTCAACATTAAGTCGTAATATAGTCAATTCGTCGACTAATAATTGCAGCTCTTGTCGAGTTTGCACAGTTCAGTGATGATTATGTAAATGCAATTGAAAAAACTGTTTTCTTACAGTTGAGCTAATTCAAGTTGCATTGTGGGTAATGTAGGCACACAAAGAACAAGAAGGCCTGGATTAGGACAGAAAATGTCTGCGTCAATTCTGATTCTTTTTGAACGTTCCAATAAGGATTTAATTTGAAACCTGTTATATTACATAACCTTTAATCAGTATGAGCTGAAATGTTATAGCTATCTCTGATACAGGAGCTTAGTCTAAAAAAGAAAAAAGGAAGGAAATGAAGGAGCGAGAGGTAGTGGAGGGTTGCAGTAGTGGGACGGCGGCGGTGGAGAGGAGCGAGTGGAGGATTGAAGTGACAGGTTGTTGTCAGAGCAGCTAGACCCTGGAAGATAGATGAAGACAGGGTCACAGCTCCCCGCTGAAGTCACGACAGATGATTAACTGTGTGCTGGTGTGTGTGCTGGTGTGTGTGCGTTTCTGTGAGGACCGGGTCAGCGCTTTTTTCGCCCAAGGCCGGCTACCCCTGAGTGTGGAGTGTGCGTGTGAGAGTATTCGAGTACAAGGTCAGCAACTTGAGCCCTACAAAGCTGACTGACACTGTTGTGTATTGGTCATTGTGTTATGTGACATGCGTTCATGGGCGTCGCAACCATTATATGAGGGTGGGACAAGTCCCCCCCACTTTTTCAAATGATTAGTTTGGACCCCCCCACTTTTACTATGCGGAAAGTCCGTGAATCGGTCTATCCACTCGCCGCTCTTTGCAGAGCGCTGCAGTGCTTCACTATCAAATGAAATCCATTCCACTTGCTTATTGAGAGAATGCCCAAATCAATGAAACTCCGTACCATGTTTTCACTGCTACTTTGTACCAAGGCAGATTCTCACATAGCGCGCGCATGTTCAAGGAGTGATGTCATAGTTGGACAGCTCAGATTCTGTTGTATGAAGGATGCCGGTAGTGGAGGTAAGGCACACACACCAAATGTTCAGGAAATGGTTAATACAGCGAAAATCAAAGCTGACTATCTCTTGGTTTGATATGTTTTCTCCCCCAGACAACATGGACATAAGAACATTTTTTGCAAAGAAGAGGAAAGTAAGTCATCAGCTGGTAGCAGTTAATCAGTTAACACTGTTAACTTAACAGTGATGGCGGTGGTGGCGGAAAATGCGTCTCACTTCTGGAGAGGAGTTTCGTCTTTATGTCATGATAGAGAAATACAAATACTGAATAGTTTAGATAAGAAAAGGCATCGAAATGCCAGGTTACTAGTATTTATCATGTAAACAGGGAACATGAATAACCCGATCTCTCTGCTCATGTAAACACATCATAACCGGGATAATACTCTTAAACGGCTTACTGATGTCCATGTACAGTAGAGACGCAGTCAGTGTGTTTTACTGGAGCCTCAGTTCGATACGAGATTATTTTCTGAGTTCTTTAACTTAGGTACTCTCTCTCAAATGGTAATGTGCATTATGTTTTAATTATACTTCTTATCATTCAGAAGCTTTTTGTGTGTGTTTATGTTTTACTGAGTGCTTATAGGCTATTTCCATCCCAGTATTCAGTTAACTATTTATTTTCTGTGCACATTACATAGACTAGCTAATATTCTACCTACTGCTTGGGACTTTGAGTCTTCAAAATGTCCAATGTCACAGACTGGGACTTACTTTAGAGTCAGTTGTATTTACATTCAGTATGACTTGTTATGATTCAATGTGAAAGAGTATACTGCTCAATAAATAATGATCACTTCACCACCTCTCTTGACATCTAGGCACTTGAGAGTGAGTCAGAGGCAGAATACAGGGACAGTGGAGAGAGGTCCATTGCTGAGGTGAGTGATGAAAGGGAAATGACAGTTGAGAGTAAATTGTGATGTGGACTCTCATCCCAGGATTTTAAGGAAATCAGTGGGGATATTGAACAGGAAACATTTCAGTCAAGGGGCATCATATGACCAATATAGACAGAAGAGCAACATTTATTTGAACATTTAAGTCAATGATACCATTCCTAGGTGAACTTAACATCCATATGGAGTCAGATCAGTCTCAATATTAATAAATGCTCACAGAAGGATTCACAAATGTATTTTGCGATTTATATATAAATGACTCTCCACAACAATATCTCTCAATGCACTCACAAATATTTATTGTTGTATATAAATGTACAAAAAAATGGGCATTTAAACTGCTTTTTATTAATTCAAAGACGGCTCTGAATTAATAATCAAATATGTTTCCTTTCTTTACTACTGGATGAAATTACAAAATGTACCCATCATTTTCCTCATGCTAGTATAGCCACATAAAAGTATCAAACCACCTGTTAAAATGCACCAGAATACAGGAAATCTATATTTTTTTTCGCCCCAACACCCCCCGTTAAAAATGTCCCCCCCACATTCAGGATGGTTCCTACGCCCATGCATGCGTTTATGTTTCACGAACTCTCTCTATCTTTTCACCGATTTGACCTGCGGGGTCAAACACTTTCTCATCCTTTTTTTTCCATCTGTTTCCACTCGATATAAATTAACTGAAAAGGCACTTAGCTTCCCCGTCATGAAAACAAACATATTTCTGTCGTATCCCCGATTGCCTGTTCTCAGCTCAGCTAATATTCACTCACTGCCAAACTCTGTACAGCAGTATGAACATTGAAAGAACATCGTTTACAGCTAGCTGCACACAAATGCACCATACTGTCTTGTGTGTAAGGTTTCACACATGAAAGACTTGACTCAAGGCCATGTTTAACTCAGGAAATTCAGTTTGTCCACCTACATTTAATATCATGTTCATCCTGTCCACATGAGAGACAGTCCCAAGTTAAAGAGTCATTCAACTTTAAACATTTTGGCCTTCACCGTGCGCTCACACCAAAGGATTTATGAGCAGAAGCACAGAGAATGAGAAGGTGTTGCCCTGAGCGCAACCTTATAGGCAGCACTTACCTCCAGTTGTCTATTTAGTCATTCATCATACACAAAGCAACATTAGCATTTATCTTAAGTATTGGTCACCTGGGCAATAGCCAAAGTATACTCTCCTTTTAGCTCTGTGTTTGGTCTCTATCAACCTTGAGAAAAAGAAAAGTACATGTCTCTTTAGCTAAATGCTGCGCTATGTTCACAAACTAGCTGCTCCATTTGTCTGTCTGCTGTTTGATGCGAAGCAGGTAGTAACAGCAATTTATTCAAGCTTTTTTAACGCTCAAAACGCTAATGAGAGCTGCAGGACTCAATCAAATAAGTTAAACCAACACAACAACAAGCTAAAAGAGGCTAACATATTCTGCAGGGTCCAGAGGATACTTTTTCTGTCATCATGACAGACAACTTTTTCACATTAATCATCTTTTCAAACATTGTTGTATACAAATATATAACATACTTAGCTTAGACCAGAAAAATAAAGGACTTGGACTTGGGAGTGAAAGACCTGACTTGCCACTGTTTCCAATACATGTTTTTAGATGAATAGTAAATATAAAATGTTATAATATATCAATATTGACATTACATGTGTATGATAAGGCTGTGATTAATGTTAGGTTCAAGTGCACAAAAACCCTTGGTAAGATTGCAGTGTCTTGGGGGGATTTCTAAAGATTACAAATGGAGAAATGTGTCTACTGTTTGCTCTGTGGTGCAGCGAAAAATAGTTTTCTATTGACCGTTCCACAGTCCAGATTAAAAACAAGATGTGATTGATTTTTTTCATCTCCAGAGGAGCCCAGGCTGGCTTCTTCTACTTCAGCTTTATAGACTTTTTATTTAGTTTAAACTTTATTACAGAGGCTGACTACAAGTGTATCATCACTTACAGCGTTCCTACAGAGTTGTTTTCAGCCTTGCTCTTATCTAATGACCATTATTGCTTTTGTTGCTTCTTCATTTTATCTGTTTATAATCCACAATAAACAACCTTCTATTGACTTCTGGTAAGATAAAGAATGTTGTTGTTAGTCACATTAAATATAGGTTTTTATTCTGACAGGTTACTGGATGCTTTTCCTCCCTCTGTGCTTTTAACTTGGAGTCTTACCTCTTTCTGCACGCTTTAAATAGAGGCACTTGAGTTGATTTGAAGCAGAAGAAGGTGTTTAGAGAGTTAAGTGGGGTATTTAAAAGTGAAATAACGTCCCTCCTTCTGTCTCTTTGTACCTAAAGGATTCACGAATCTCTGCGCCGACCCAGTAGAAGTCAGTAGAGTCCAGTGAAGGACCGACTGCATCGATAGAAATGGCTTCAACAGCCATGTCTCCATCCTCTCTCACCTCCCGCCTCTCCTCACCCCTCCTCCTCTTCTTACTCTCTGCCTTCCTCCTCCTGTCCTGTCCCGGATCAGTGGACGCGGCTGACGCAAACTGCTCAGCTGCTGGAGACCAGTGTCAGGAAGGTGAGGAAACGGCATCGTATCATACAGTCCCTCCACAGCTTAATAGAGTGTATATTTCTCTTGTGGTACCAGTATATTAATCTAATGACTCCTTTATTTCTAAAATAGCCTATAAATACCCTCCTGGCATTAATTGCCGTACATTTTGCCAGCTCATTCTGTGCAAGCTGTCCAGAGGCTAACAGGAAAGAGATTTATTTGAGGGTTGCTAATGCACACTGAAAGGCCAACCACGATCTTTTTCATCCTGGAAAAAACGCTAATTTCTTTGTAATGTCACTGCTATTGAGCCCTTTTCGTAGCAGCAGGACCCTATTTTCTCTAGGGGTCCAGGTTAAAAAACAACCATTAAAGTTGAAAAATATGAGCAGAATATTCAAAGTTCACACAAATCAGGATGCCATGCCAGTGTTTCATTGTCTCCTGAGTTAAATGTACCACTGGTGACTTATCAGCTGATTGTGCCAGCTTACTGCCTTTAAACTGGAGCACATTGATCGATTTTAATATGTTTTATCAAGACAAATGATACATCTTCCACTTATTACATTCCTTAATCAGGTTATACTGCCACTGAGCTCTTTACAAGATGCCCACAGTGGCAGACTGTACAAGATTAAAGAGGGAAAGCGTTGCAAGCTAATATATGTGATCCTTTCCTGCATAACCTATTCTGATATCTTCCTTTTTGTGATGTTTCAGGAGTGGTGCTGCCCGTGTGGAACCCTCAGAACCCCTCTGTGGGCGACAAAGTGGCGCGGGCCATTGTTTACTTCGTGGCTCTCATCTATATGTTCCTGGGCATGAGCATTATCGCCGACCGGTTCATGTCTTCTATAGAGGTAGGCAAGAGATAAAAGAGCACACATTGGTTCCATTGTTCTCCTGGTAGTATTAAATCTCTTCATTGTAGTAATTAGTATGTATGTGAGTTATCAACAGCTGTGGGAAATTCAATGGATCTAACTTAAAGGAATACCTCACTCACAAACTGTCCATTGCTATGACAATTTCTCTATCTGTGTGACCTTGAGTAGCTTTTAAAAACCCAAACTCAAGCTTTTTGTTTGAGTTATCCTTAATATAATAAGTTTCATGGCTCATTTTTCTCTAAAATATATATATATTTTCTTTCCCTAGTACTTCCTCTTATTTTACTTCATCATTCTCCTGTCCTTTTCATTTGGTGCAACCTCTTATTTCCTTACCTTCTCATTCCTCTCCTCTCCTCTTCTCCGCAGGTCATAACCTCCCAGGAGAAAGAAATCACTATAAAGAGGCAGAATGGTGAGACCAGCACCGTCACGGTCAGGATCTGGAATGAGACCGTTTCTAATCTCACTTTAATGGCCTTGGGTTCCAGCGCTCCCGAGATACTGCTGTCAGTTATTGAGGTGAGCACATTATGAGCCTGCTGGTTACGCATTAGATGACCTGACGCACAGAACGTACTGGGAACACAGTCATCTGATTTTCACCCCCCGTCTATAGGTGTGTGGTCACGATTTTGAGGCCGGCTCTCTGGGTCCCAGCACTATCGTGGGCAGCGCTGCCTTCAACATGTTCGTCATCATCGCCCTGTGTGTGTACGTGGTACCCGATGGAGAGACGCGCAAAATCAAACACCTTCGGGTGTTCTTCGTCACGGCAGCCTGGAGTATCTTCGCCTACATATGGCTCTACCTGATTCTGAGTGTCTTTTCCCCGGGAGAGGTGGAGGTGAGAATATACGGAAGGCTACATAAGAGCAAAGTTTGGGAAGAAGATGGGTGTTAACTGTGTCTCCTCTCCTCTAGGTTTGGGAGGCAGTGCTCACCTTCCTCTTCTTCCCGCTCTGTGTGGGCCAGGCCTGGGTGGCAGACCGTCGCCTCCTCTTCTACAAGTACGTCCGCAAGCGTTACCGCGCCGACAAGCACCACGGCATCATCATCGAGACCGAGGGAGGGCCGGATGGAGCCATGGGTATGTCCGGAGGAGGTGCCCTGGGGCCGGGGGGTTTCACCAAGATGGACATGCTGGAGCTGGACGGACAGATGGCGCTGAATTCTCACAGTGGGATGGACGGAGGGATGATGGAAGACGGAGCGAAGGACGAACAAGATGAGGCCAGGAGGGACATGGCGAAGACGCTGAAGGATCTGAAGCAGAGGCACCCGGATAAAGACATGGAGCAGCTGATCGAGATGGCTAATTATCAGGTTAGAGGAGTGTGCTAATATTATAATTTATTCATATTCAATATATTTATAAGAAAAAGTTTGGGGAATATAACACTGGGAGGCCATTAGCTTAGCTTAGCATAACGACTGGAAACAAGGGGAAACAGGTAGCCTGGCTGTGTCCAAAGTTCAAAGATACATTGTAGTCATTTTGAAAAGTGTATTTTTACATTACATTGCATTTAGCTGACGCTTTTATCCAAAGCGACTTACAATAAGTGCATTCGACCAACAAGATACAAACTTGAAGAAAACAGAATCATATAAGTACATCAGGTTTCATAGAGCTAAAACATTTCAAGTGCTACTTAACTGGCTTTAGATAAGCCAGTCCTTTATTAGTATATAAGTGCTTTGTTAGCAATTCTTTGTTAGTGCTTCTATCGCTCGAAGCGGTATTTCAAGTTATGGTTTTATAGAAAGTTACATTTTTTATCTTTTATTAGCAAACAGCAGCCAGGCACAGCGACTTCATGGATAGCTTTTTGGACACAAAAAAACACTAAAAATGTGAAACATCTATTTCAATTTCATTCATTTGTAATCTAAACTGCAAATATGGCCCTTAATAATCCCTTACCATGTTAGTTTATATAAAGAACCTAAGACCCCGGGAACATAAGCTTATCTCCTTCTTCATGCTAAGCTAATGGCTTCCTGGCTCTATCTCCCTGATTAATGCCCAAACACGAAAGTGGTATCAATTCCTATTTATATATATATATATTCACCATAATGTCAAGCTTCTCTAAGACATACATATTTGATTTTAGTCCACAATTGAATATATTTGGATGTTGCTGCTCATAATGGAGGCCCTGCATTTATCCTAAATTAGACATTACATCATGTCACACATTTCATATGCGACCCCTCTAGGGGTGACTGTGTTAGAGTTGACGCTTTGACACATTCAGTTGTTAACAAGGTGTTTTAAGTGATAGCAGGGATACAGAGAACATTTCAAAAATGTTACAGAGCAAGTTAAAAGGTGTTCACTAAATTAAACAACTGCCTACATGCACATGAAAGAAAATCAAAACCCCACTTTGCATACACACCAAATAAAAAGAACATAATATGGAAGTCATTAGAGTGTTGTCTAGATAAGTACACATATAAAGATACCAATACAGTTTTTCAGCCCCTCATATAATGTCATGTGCTGATAAAACCACTAGTCTGCAGAGAGCATGTTGGCGGTTGGCTTGATTGACAGCCCTATAACAGGCGACCCCTCTGACATCCAGGTGGTTTCTTTCGGGGTAAGTTGTATTAACATAAAATAGGTGAGTGTGTAAGTTCCTCCATAGCCTTGGAAGCCATAGCTTGACAAAAAAATGTAACCCAAGGTCCACTTGTTACCTTTATTTGAGCTTACAGCTGAGTTCATAAGACTGGGTCATGTTATTAACATTTCAAAAAGAGACAGCAAGTGGACCTTGTGTTAAGATTTTTTGGGGGCATTTAGATATACGATGTCTTAAAATATATTGATAAGCCATGAAAACGTAGTGCTTTGTCCTAAACTTATGGTTTAATTTGGCATTAGTTTGGTTTAGATAGTCAATGTGGTTTTTTCGCATCCCTGTTCAAATAGAAAGCAGTCACTAATAAATGGTTTTCACACACTCATATCTTTTTGAATATTTGCACTCGCTAAAAACTATTTGTATAATCAATGTGGCACATTAAGGACTTGTCTGGTTTTGCACCCTTTGATGATGAACTGTGGAAGCTATCCAAGTCTCTGCTGCTCCCTCTTTCTTACTTTCCTCTCTTCCTTCCCTTGCCTTTCCTCCACCATTTCTTGCTCCTGGTCTTTGTTTTTTTGGCAATGAAGGAGTAGAGGAAAGCACCCCAAGGTGCACTGGGAAACTGCCAGATGTTTGTTTGAATTCAAGCCTCCCTCCCTGCAGCTCCTCGCTCAGCCTTTTTTCTGTAAATAAAAATGGCAGCTGGCCTGAAGAGTAAACTCAAGTGGACGAAATAAGTTCAGTGTGGTCTTAAAACAGTAGTTCCCCATGGTGGAATTGGACTTTCATTAAATTAGACCAGCTAAACCTGATAACGTTTTTAACTAAACTTACAATTACAGCTTACATCCCTCCACAGTGATGCAGATTTTATGAGAATTCTGAAGGGATATTGCCGGCTCTCTTTCCTTCAATTTCAAAAACTCAGTGTTCCTTTGAGGCCACATTTAAGCCAATGATTTCCACATCTAAAGTTTAATGTTCTATTTAGTTGGTAAATCGCTAGAATATGAAATTCCTATTCAGCAAGACACTTTTATTGAAATGTGTGCTCATAGATTGATGAAGCCCATTAGATAAAATGTTTGCAGCGGAACAGTCTTGTACATTGTTAACAGGGAAGTAAGGAAGCAATGTCACATTGTTCCTTGACAGTGCGATTCCACCTATGTAATCAAGGAAATATTTTTGGTTAGATGCCTGAAACATAGAATTGTGGTTGACACCAAGCTAAAAATAACTTGAGGCTTTTCATTATTTTAAAGGCCTTTAGCTCTTTACTTCTGGCCATTTATATGTAAAAAATCATAGAGGTGGTGTTCATCTGTAAACATAATTTGTTGAACAAAACATGTAAGAACAATAACATGTTGTTGTCCTCAGAGTTTGCTTTTTGCAATAATCCAAAATCCAATGGAAAATCCCATCAAAGTAACCAGAGCTAACTTCTGGGTTGGCCCAAAATCCCTGCAAAGCAAAACAGTTATAAATATGAAGCTCCAACATCAATACGCACAGGATCTAGGTCCAAACTTCAAGCACCCATTTAAAAAAAAACGTCCTTCAGTAACTCACTAATCCCTTGACTACTAATTTCCCTGAGGAGAAACAATTCCCAAAAGAGATTCACTGCTTAATCTTGAAATTGCAGCTTCCAATTCAAACGTGGAAGCTTTTATAAAAGGAATCTTTTTTTGGAGGTGAAACAAAACATGATCAATACAATAGATTTGTTATTAATTGATTGGTTTTGTTGATCAGGTCCTGATGCAGCAGCAGAAGAGCAGAGCGTTCTATCGTATCCAGGCAACCAGGATGATGATCGGAGCTGGAAACATCCTGAAGAAGCACGCCGCCGACCAGGCCCGCAAGGTGGGATGCACATCATCTCCCCTCAGCACCACTATTTACAGATAAAGAACTCGCATCTTAATTTGTTCCCGTCTCTTTTATTTCCAGGTGGTGAGCAGCAAAGAGACGCAGGCGCAGGAGGACGACCCTCACACCATCACGATGGACTTTGAACCCGCTCTGTACCAGTGCTTCGAAAACTGTGGCTCCTTAAAACTGACTGTGGGCAGACACGGAGGAGACCCTGGAGTTACTGTCAAGGTGTGTGTGGTGTTCATGCAAGACTGAGGAGTTCAGAAAAATGACAAAAGACAGAGAAAAAATAAACCACAGAAATCTGCTCTGACCTGACCTCACTTGTTCTCATCTCTAAAAAGATTCAGACTGCTGGTAAATAACAGAAATGGTTGATAAAGAAGAGCGGGGACACACACATTACTAAACATTTTATTCTCCAGATTTTTCGATTTCAGTTCAGGCTGTAAGAAAAAGATAAAAAACATCCATTGGGGAAGGCTCATTGATCTTAACACTGGCCTCATACTCTGAATAACAGATTTTCTTTTAAGTCAGAGACAGAAATCTGTATCAGTGAAATGATCTGCATGTTAATACAGCAGGGGCCTTGCATGGCTGTGTCTCCTCTATTATTCTCCCATATACAAATAAAACTTCCTCGGAATAGATCATGCCCTATTAGGCAATGTTAATGGAATTGAAAGAATAATATGTGTATCCTCAGCATGATTCAGATCCAAAATGTAATGGGTTATCCCTTGGTCCATGATACAATATCACGGCTGTTTTCTTTTACCGTAGTCCTCCTGAAAAAAGAAACACCAAACAAAATCATAACTTCCTTTTCAAAGGAGACTATGATGTAGCATCAGAGCTATCTTTAGGCGTCGGTTCATGGCATGGCTTCAGTCTGCCGTCCACTGAAACTGATTTTATAAAGTGAAGTGGCCTTTTAAGCCCACACAGGCTCTTCAGACAGCGTTGTCAGAGCAGTGCAGACGCATTTCACAATGTGGTTACGTGTACTTGATGCCGCACTTGAATCAGTCAAAAGCAAATCTATTAACAGTCCCAGATCTCAGCCTTTTCATTATACAATAAAAGTTCAAAGAAATATACTCATTAAAAAGCTTAGCACTTTTAGCATGAGGCAGCCATTCTAAAACAGCTACCGACACTTTAAAAATATTATATTTAAAGCTAAATGCTCATTTGAAGCTGCATTAAGAGACTTTGTGTGCCGCTTGTGCCGCAGCAGGAAAAAGCTATAACATTTAAAAGACCTTTGAAGCCAAAATAGCTAATATGATGTAAAAAAAGTAGGCTTTTTTTTATATACAGCAGGTACGGAGAATCATTAGCTTTCATTCGTATCCACCTGATGGATTAAGTCCAATATTCAACTTCTTTAAGCACTGTTTTAAACTCCAAAGATTCCTGGGAAAGATATGCATCTCTTAATCTGCTAAATGTCAGCGAGTACTTACTTTTGTTTTGCCATTTAGTTCCAAGCAGGCATTTACAGCTTTTTTGTATAGCTTTTTAGATGAAAACAGCTGAATGTTGCATATTAATACAACACAGATAAGTCAAGTCTGGAAAACCAAAATAAAGCGCTAAATGTTAAAACTATCATTATTTAATGTGGGTTTCTCAGTATGAACAATACCTTAGTAAGTCATTTGAGCCAATACAGAAAAAAGATTATAGTAGCTTGAAGTCTGCTTAAATAATTAGTAAATGGCAAAATTATTTATGGGAAACCACATTCCTGTCCATCCATACCAAAAAAGAGCAGTTTCCGAGCAGAGGGATTCATCAAATACAATGTGCTGTATTTTATAAATTAGGTGCCATAGGAAAAGGCATACTTTTAATTAAGTTAAACCTACAGTGGTACAGTTAATAAAGCCTAGCTATATTCTCGGCTGCCCATCTTTATCAAATATACATAACATAGAAACCCACTCATCAATTCATTCATTTCCTGCTATTATATTCACACAATCATAATTCCAAAATGTCATAATGTCCTCTTCATGTTTGAAAAATCTGAAATATAATGAATCCTCAGTATAGAGTAGTCCCAGCAATAAAAGGCACATGTAAAAAAGGGTTCAGAGTTGTGTCACTCACACGCATTTCATCAAGAGCGGAGCGAGAGCACAGTGAAGAGAATGGGAATAAAAGCGCCCCCAGCACTGAGTCAGCTTTTCATACACAGTATGACTGTATGAAGTAATGGGAATTTCTGAAAAGACGACACAATCTGTTATCTGATTCTCAACAGTGAGGGTGCATTTGTGAGTACAGAGGGTTAACATGGGGGCAGATGGAGAGGATACAGGGGAAGTTTTGTTGTACTATCTTGTGTTTATTTTCACGCTGTGTCTGACCACAGGGCTCAGTTTAATGAAGCACTTTCTCTTGATTTTCCTCTGTTCCCCAAATGCCTCTCCTCTTCTTCTTTGCCTCTTTTTCCATGTTCTCCTTTCCCTTTGTGTTTATTTGCCCTTTTCCGTTCCGTTCTGTTTTATCTTCTGACGGCTCTCCCTTTGCCATGGTCTCAACCCGCCTCCCCTCTCTGTGTGCTCTGCTCTCCCCCAGGTGGATTATCGCACAGAGGACGGCACAGCAAACGCAGGTTCAGATTATGAGTTTGCAGAGGGAACGCTGCTGTTTAAGCCGGGAGAGACCCTCAAAGGTAAAATAAAACTGTCACAGCAATAATGTATGGCATATTTTCCAAAAACACATCGCTTAGACTGAGGCTCAAAGAGATCAGATCATCCACAGGGAACGCTAAAATGTTCTTTTTGGAATAATGTTTCATAAAGAAGAATCCTACTAAGGCTGTACTGTTTAGAACAAAATCACTTATTGTGATTATTTGGCCTGATATTGCAATTTGATATGTTTAAAGATATAGGAGGGAATTTTTGAAACATTTATCGCTTGGAAATTGTATCAAAGTTATCATTGTGTGACCCTTATAAGAAGATCTGTACCAAAACAAGGATTTTCCTCAATTTGGATTAAATATGCAGCACTAACTACAGTAAAGTATTCTGTCCCAACCTATAATGACATTTCTTTCCCCAGAGATCACAGTCGGAGTGATTGACGATGACATCTTCGAGGAGGATGAGTATTTCTACGTCCACCTCAGTAACCCTCGGCTGGTTGGATATCCGGAGATCGGCACCGCCCCGCAGGACGCCAGCGTCGCCCCCAAAGCCGTGCTGGGGGACAACCACACCGCCACAGTGACCATCTACGATGACGATCACGCAGGTAATTGAACCCCTAAATAACGTTTGATGGGAATAGATACGATTTTATTCATATCCCTGTAATTATAGATTCTCCTAATGGTCTGGTTCTGTATCGATTACGTTATTGAATCGTGATGGTTTTTTGTGTAGAAAAAAAGTATGTATATAGAAGTCTTCCGTTTAAATGTATAATGGAAAACATTGCACCTTCTTGTTGCAAGCACTGTTTTTCAGAGATTAGTGTTAGTCGTTTTTTTTTGTCACTTGCAACTCTCTTATTGAGTCGTACAATTCAGATGGATCGGTCTTCTTGGTTTCCATTTCTCCTCTTTAAGGGTTTTCTATATTATCTTATCCATCCTAACCACTTAAATATAATTATTTTCTGTTCTGTCTATACCTAGATCATGCAAAACAGACAGTGTCAAAAGTAGAACTGGTTTTAATGAAAGTGTCTGCAGCCATCCAGCGTTATTTTAAATCCACATGGGTCTATTATTGTATTGCTAAAGTCCCCTCAGTGTCACCACTTTTCAGCCACAGTAGTTTGAAAACAACCAAAGACAATTAAAGTGACTGAGTGGAGAGTGGGCGTTTACCTGATGCTCATTTCCTTTTATCTAGAGAGAGTGGGAGGTAGTCTATTATCCCCTTCACTTTAAATACAGCACACACTCGAGAGCAAAGTAGTGAGTGAGCGTAGGTGTTTATCAACCTCATCTTTCACACTTTTAGTGTTTCTTCCCCGTCAAATGATCTTCTTTCTTTCTTCCCTTTAGGCATCTTTACCTTTGAGGCCGGCAGTCAGAAGGTGAGCGAGAGCGTGGGTGTGATGGAGCTGAAGGTGTTGAGGACTTCGGGGGCCCGAGGCCTGGTGGCCGTCCCCTACCGAACCGTGGATGGCAGCGCTAGAGCGGGAGAGGACTACGAAGTGTCCGCCGGCAAGCTGGAGTTCCAGAACGACGAGACCATGTGAGTACAGGAACTGTTACTAAACCGTGAATATAGGCACACTTGACCAATGGCCCGAAATCCAGTGGTGTGAAGTAACTTAGTATATTTACTCAAGTACTGTCCTTAAGTACAGTTCTGAGAGACTTGTACTTTACTTGAGTATTTCAATTTCTTGCTACTTTGTACTTCTACTCCACTACAATTCAGAGGTAAATGGTGTACTTTTACTCCACTACATGTATCTAATACCTTTAGTTACTTTACAGATTTTGATTAATAATGTGAAATATAATCAAGTGTTGAATCAGACTTTAGTTCCACCTGGAGTAAATCCACAAGCTACCCTGCAGTATACAAAGTCATTCAAACTAGCTGTAACCTTGCCAGCTTTGATAACACTTTAATGATCAATCATTATAATCAAAACATATAAAATATATTATTCTGAAACGGGCCAGTACTTCTACTTTTGGTACTTTAAGTTTATTTTGATGCCAATCCTTTTGTACTTTTACTTTAGTCACATTTTGATTGCAGGACTTTCACTTGTAACAGAGAATTCCTTCACTCTGGTACTTCTAGTTTTACTCAAGTACAAGATCTGAGTACTTTTCCCACCTCTGCCAAAGTCGAATAAAAAAAAACCTTTTTATTCATTAAAATCAGGTTTTTATATCACTCAAAGGTGACTGACATACTTTTAGTGTCCCATTCCTCTCACTCTGTCTCCTTTCTGTGTGATTGACTCTCATTCAGAAATGGCTGTTCAGGTTAATTGAGTGTGAAACATACATTTGCGGTATAAATAGCTCTATTAAAGCAGATAACAGCGCAATAATGCCACTCTTCAAGGTAGGCTACTCTGCATTCAAATGTTTCCTCACACGTGAACACACACACACACACACACACACACACACACACACACACACACACACACACACACACACACACACACACACACACACACACACACACACACACACACACACACACACACACACACACACACACACACACACACACACACACACAAATGCTCTCGTGTCCTTGGGCACATGTATTTTTAATATGCTGATGTTAGCGGTGTTCAATTGACCAATACATAAAGCGGTTGGGAATGCAGTTTCCTCAGCGCCTCTTGGGGCCCCATAAAGCAAGTACTGTGTGTGTGTGTGTGTGTGTGTGGGTGTTTCTCAATGTCGAGGAAGGCTGCTCCAGAGCCACTATTTCAAGCATACTACGTCATCGAGTGCATACTTGGAATTCTGCCGAGGCCAGCGTACTTCGTAGCGAGAAATTTCGAGGCTGCACATGTGTAGACTCAATCCCCACAATGCTTTGCGCACGGACCAATTTCCAAATCTTTGGCGGAAATCGCGCTCCATTTAAGGCGGGGCCACGCATATGATGCACACCTGCACACCTGTTAGCCTGTTCCACAATTCTTCGTGCAAGTGCAAGTGACTCGGAAGACATGTGCTACCAAGGAAGCGTCCTCGGCATTGAGAAACACCCTGTGTGTGTGTGTGTGTGTGTGTGTGTGTGTGTGTGTGTGTGTGTGTGTGTGTGTGTGTGTGTGTGTGTGTGTGTGTGTGTGTGTGTGTGTGTGTGTGTGTGTGTGTGTGTGTGTGTGTGTGTGTGTGTGTGTGTGTGTGTGTGTGTGTGTGTGTGTGTGTGTGTGTGTGTGTGTGTGTGTGTGTGTGTGTGTGTGTGTGTGTGTGTGTGTGTGTGTGTGTGTGTGTGTGTGTGTGTGTGTGTGTGTGTGTGTGTGTGTGTGTGTGTGTGTGTGTGTGTGTGTGTGTGTGTGTGTGTGTGTGTGTGTGTGTGTGTGTGTGTGTGTGTGTGTGTGTGTGTGTGTGTGTGTGTGTGTGTGTGTACAGTTTTAGAGAATGAGGACTTTTCTGCTTGTTTCCTCTTCCTCAAGGTGCTGTTTGATTCATGGTTGGACAGATGTTAGGGTACAATTATATTAATACAAATGTGTGTGTTGTGTTTCTAGGGGACAAAAGTTGGGAAGACGGAGTGTGTGTATCAACCTATATGTGTGTGCTCTCAAACATCTATGCTTGTCAAGACCAACCTGGCTTTAGGCCTTGAGACTTGGGAGAAAAAAAACATGCTATTAGATTATAATGACTAATTCATTAATGTTTTCATCACTTTAATTTGGCAGCTGCTAAAGCAGGAGTTCATTATCTATTAGATATTTAGATCACTGTAGATGTAGAAAGGACACTATTTCTCTATGAAGTGAAGTTAAGTACAACAAACCTTAAAATTGTAAATTCAGTGTTTTAGTACATTGTACTTATTAATTTGCACCTCTGCTCAAAAGAGGCTTGTCTTGTCTACTAAAAAGGCAAAGTATGCTTGCATGTGTGTGTGTGTGAGTGTGAGTGTGAGTGTGAGTGTGAGTGTGAGTGTGAGTCCAAGTACATTTGTGTACAATGATGCAGTCACTACTTATAAAGCAAGCTAGTGAGCTTAGGAAACGTTGAAAGAGGGGTCAGAGGGAGCTAAAGTAGGCAAAACAAACAGATATACAGTATGTCCTCTGGAAGCTCATTAATAGTCTCTAGTGCAAAACTAAATAAGATACTGTTAGATTGTTTGCTACACGAGGATTACAGAGATCAGAGGGTGCGGTATTCTAACTTTGTGGGTCAAGAGTAAACAAAGAGCATCGATAAGCATCTTCCTCCTCTGGCTGCGGATTAACAGTGAATACAGCTTGTATTTGTGAAGCTTCTGAGAACCATACCGAGGTTTAAAGAACCTACACCCATTTTTAGCTTGCAGCATGCATTGATCAGAACTGCAGAGTATGCTTTTTGTTGGGTAGTTACACACTACTTCTTCAGCACAGGTAAAACAAAAGCGCCTAAATACTGCTTTTTATTTGATTTACTACATTTGGGCCTCATTTTGTGCTATTTTTCTATTATGCCTTTTCAATAAGAAATCTCTTTGGATTGAATATGATGCCCTTTCAGCAGTGATGATATCAGAGATGCTTTGGCGTGCTCTTTTTAAAGGCTTTTTGGGAGGATGGGCAAACAGGATGTGCTCTCTTAAAATATCCCTCCCCCTCTTTATTTTCTCATGGCTTTTTCTTGCTGCTACCTCTCTGTGTTTTCTCTTTTCATCATTGTGCCTTTGAGCCCCTTGTCCCGCTAATGTAAAGCTGCTTTTATCTGCTGCACTCGCTTGTTTCTTTCCTCCCTCTGCCTCCCCTTTTCTCTCTTCATTAAATGTCTGCTCTTCATTGCCCTTGAATGTCCTCTGTGTAGCCATTTCCAGCCTTTTTCTCATTGGCTTTCTTCAACATCTCTCCCCCTTTCTCCCATCCCCCCGCATTTCTCTTTGGTATAATTTTAGATTTCCTTATGTTTTGTCATCCTCCCTTCTTCCCTGACCTCCCTGTCAACTCTCCTCTTTCCCTTTTCACCCTCCTGATTAGCATCTTCCTACAGTCTTTAACCTTTACCTGTTCAAACCATTCCTCTCTCTCTTTTCTTGCTCTTATCTTGCTCCACTGCTTCTTTCTTACCTCTCCACCTCTCCTTATTCTATCCTTCCCCTCACCCTCTCCATCCATCCATCTCTGTCTAACCCTTTACTCAGAGAAAAAGGGACTTTCTGTCAAGGCAATTTAGCTGGATCACAACCCCAGACATAACTCACCCTCCACACCTCCTTCTGTTCTCTCCTGTCTGACAGTATGTCTTCCTTCGTGCTGCGTAATAGTTTTGTTAACCCATTTGGTCTATTTCGGCGCATTTAAGCAACCACACCGCACCTGCATTCATCTGCCACTTTTGTTGTTTATCCTGTCTGATGGAATGAGATTTCTGAAAAGTTTGGGAAAAGTGGTAGAAAGTGGGTAGATGGATCACAGGAGAGAGAGGAGGGGTAGATGGAGGACGAGTAAACCAGGTGCTGCTGAAACGCATTGGAGCTGAACTGACAAGAGGAGAGGAGAAGGAAGTGAAGAAAAAAGGGGGCTTCACCTCAATGTATTACTATCTTATTCATAGAAAATAATGTGATACCATCAAGAAAATTCATTTTTCTCTTACTTCCCCTCCTCATAGTTTCAGATGAGGGACAAAGGCATATTTGCTCATTTATACTTCAACAAGTGGATGATTTCTGAAATAAACACACAATATCAGTCTACTTGTAATAAGAACCACCTGCAGGGGGCCAGTTTTGCAAAACAGCACTGGCTCCATCCAAAATATAAGTCAATTAGTTCAGAAACACTTGAAATGGGAATTAAACTAGAATGTTTGTAAATGTCTTTATCAATGCTTTGTAGAATACATTCATTCCGACCCAAAGATGTGTTTTATAAGCACATGGATGGAGAAGGAGTCAGGAACATGGATAAAAACATAAGGAGGAGAAGTTATAGAGAGATGTACATGACTTATTAATGAACTGAGGAAAGGAGTGAAGGAGGAAAAAGACACGAATAATATGTAAGTGCGTTATCGTCAGTATGTTGCTCTCTCACTCGAGTGGAATTTATTCAGTGTCACTGACTGTGGGAAGTCACACACACATACACTTGATATGCAGCATAGTTCATCTATATTTATTCATTATTTGGACTCACATTATGCACACGCCAGAGGTAATTAAATCCCTCTGTGCCCTCTCTTTCTTCCTTTCTTGTTTTTTGGTAGGCTAAGGTATGTGTGTGCAGAAGACAAAGTTGCTTGTGTGCGTGTGCGTGTGTGTGTGTGTGTGTGTATGGCTCAGCAGGGTCAGTTTATTCTTAGCCTTCCTCTAACCTGCAACCGAGCTCAGTCACCGCCAGAAAACACTCCTCTGTGTGTGTGTGTGTGTGTGTGTGTGTGTGTGTGTGTGTGTGTGTGTGTGTGTGTGTGTGTGTGTGTGTGTGTGTGTGTGTGTGTGTGTGTGTGTGTGTGTGTGTGTGTGTGTGTGTGTGTGTGTGTGTGTGTGTGTGTGTGTGTGTGTGTGTGTGTGTGTGTGTGTGTGTGTGTGTG